ATAATAATAATAATAATAATAATAATAATAACGATAATAATAATAATACATAAATAATATATAACTACAGTCGAAATATTGTCTAAGACTGCCAACTATTGTTGAGAAGAAAAGTTGTTGTCTTCAATATGTTGACTTTTTGAACTGTGTTATTCTACTTAATTGATAATAATGTATAATTACAGTGGAAATAGTATTGTCTAAGACTGTCACTTTATAGTCGAGGAGGAAAGTTATTGTCATCGACATTTGGACGTTGCGAACTGTATCATGATTATTTAATGATATTATAATTACAGTTTAAAATATTGTCTAAGACTGTCACCCTTAGTCTAGAAGAAAAGTTATTGTCCTCAACATGTGAACATTTTGAGCTGTGTTATTATAATAAACCAAAAAAACAACCCGCAAGGTGGGAGTGGGAAACAGTACAGATGATTGTCTTGGACAGGTGGCAGTGAGAGCAAGTTCGACTGTAAATATAATTTAGTTTCATACTATGTTCTGTAACATTTTAGATTTCTCTCATCTCATATTAAGGACAATGTCTTGGCTGATATTGATTGAATCTGTGTGAAACATTCATAATAATAATACAGTATTATGGCACTTTGCTATAATTTTATGACAAATACATGTGCCTGTCTGTTTGTCTGTGTGATTAGACGAAGGACTGACAAAATATTCAATGATGATGATGATGATGATGATGATGATGATGATGATGATGATGATGATGATGATGATGATGATGATGATGATGAGTTTGTGTTTTGTTTTGAGTTTGTATTTTGCCCCCCCCCCTTCCTCTCTCTTCCGCGAACACAGCACAGCAGTTACCGTACCTACCAAGACTACGACATAGCAATGCTCACTCTGTCCTCCTCTGCCCGACTCAACAGCAGGACTCGGATTGTGTCTCTGGGCTTTTATATAGACACCCTTCCTACCAAACAATGCGATCTCTCTGGCTGGGGACGTACCAGAAGCGGTTAGTTTTTGGTGCTGTATTTGTTGTTGTTGTTGTATTTGTTGTTGCTGTTGTTGTGTATGTGAGAGCCTATTCCTTCGAATTGTTTGGAGCCCTGAAGAGCGTGCTCCTCGCCAGGACCACCGCCTCTTTTGTTGTTGTTATTGTTGTTGTTGTTGTTGTTGCTGTTGTTGTTGTTTGAGTATAGTGAAGCACATCGGCACAATACTGAGCATTTAGTGCTGGCAAATAGTAAGATAGGCAGTCAGAAACAACAGAGAGAAGTGTGTTTGAGGAAAAAGAAGCACATCGACACAATCATGGTTATTTAGTAGACAGACAGACAGACAGACAGACAGACAGACAGACAGACAGACAGACAGACAGACAGACAGACAGACAGACAGACAGACAGACAGAAACAACAGAAGGATAATGAAGAAGTAGGACCTACCAGCGCCCCTTTCCTACCCCCGATGGGGATATTTGAGGGGCGGTATGTTGTGTTGTGTTATTGTATAATATTATTATGTGGCCTTGATGAATTATTGTTCGTATTAATATGTCGCACTCGATATTACGTGCCAAATTATTCCACGTGGCCATTACACTTTCATTCATTCATTCATTCACTCATTCATTCATTCCTTCATCCATTCACTCATTCATTCATTCATTCATTCATTCACCCATTCATTCATTCGTTAACAAATTCATTTATTTATTTATGTTCTCTCTCTCTTCATTCCCATCTTTCTATCTTTTTTCTTTGTGGACTGATTTGTTAACTATTTATCTCTCGGAAAAAAGGCAACCCCCCCCCCCCTTTCCAACCCCCCCCTACAAAAAACAAAACAAAAAACAAATCCAAAACAAAACAACGTCATCACCATGTTGTGTAGTCTTTCTTTCTTTCTTTCTTTCTTTCTTTCTTTTTTGGTTTATTACCTAACTATCTATATCTATCTATCTATCTATCTATCTATCTATCTATCTATCTATCTATCTATCTATCTATCTATCTATCTATCTATCTATTTATCTATTATCTATCTATCTATCTATCTATCTATCTATCTATCTATCTATCTATCTATCTATCTATCTATCTATCTATCTATCTATCTATCTATCTATGTCTTTTTAAAATTTATTTATTTATTTATTTTATTTTTTTAAAATGTATTTATTTATTTATTTATTTATGTAT